TCCTCTCCTCCCTCCTCTCTCTCTTCCTCCTCTCTCTCTCTCTCTCTCTCTCATTGGCCGTACCAGTAGAGTCGGGTCGCACGTGTCGCTCTCACGCAGCCCACGTGCATCGTTTCGCCTTTGGCGAAGTCTTACCGTGAATAAGTGCAACACATATTGCAAGTGCGAGTTTCTGTGGTGCCGCGGACGCCGCTATCACGCGTCTCGTTCTCCGTGTAATACAGTGACACACATATTGCCCCCGCGCAAGTTTCTGTGTAATTCGCGGACGCCGCTATCACGCGTCTCGCTCTCTCGTAAGTGCAAGTGCGGACGCCGCTCACGCGTCGCGCTCTCCTGCAATCGTGGACGCCGCTATCACGCGTCTCGCTCTCTCTCAGTGCAAACACATATTGCCCCAGTGCAAGTTTCTTTGTATTTCGCGGACGCCGCTATCACGCGTCTCGCTCTCTCGTAAGTGTAAGTGCAGACGCCGCTATCACGCGTCTCGCTCTCTCGTAAGTGCAAATGCGAACGCCGTTCTAGCGTATTTCTCGTTCTAAGAAGACGTTGCTCGAAATCTGATCTCCGTCGGCGCAGCAATCACGCGCCTCGCTGTCTCCGTGTCATTGGACACAACTTTCTTACGCGGTTGCACTCTTATTGTCTCTTTGAGTTGCGCTCGCTGCATTCAAGTGCCGTCAGTAATTAATCGCAGTAACTAAGTGCCGATTTAATAGTGACATTTCGCTATCTTTTTTGCCGTAATCATGACGGATGTGAGAAACTTGTTGATCGAACAGAGTGCCACAATAGACTCGCTAAAACGAGTACTAGTGAACTTTAAGAAGCTTTCCAAGGCGAACCTGACGTTTTCGAAGACGCAAGGGCGTCTTTTACAACTGGAATCACTCTGGGACTCCTGTCGCCGCCTGCACGTCAAATTGCTGCAGATTGCCACGGCGGAGGAGCAGAGGACGCTGTTTCACTTTCAAGGCGACGAATTCTTGGCCGCTGAGGAAATCTACCAGGATACTGCCGACACGCTGTAGGAAACGATAAGTCGCTACACTAGTACTCATATTGTCTCGCGTAATCGCAGTACTGATTCTTCCATTAATGATTCGAGTAACAATTGCTTCAATTGCCACGTATTGCGCTTCCTAAATTTGGCGGTAAGCTCACTGATTGGGAGAGCTTTAGAAACACTTTTGAGTCACCCGTGGCTAATAATGAGGCGCTTTCCAACACGCAAAAGTTTCATTACTTGAAAACTAGCGTCATCGGCGACGCTGTCTTGCTTATAAATAATCTGCGCATTTCTGACGCCAATTATGATTCCGCGTGGCAATTGTTACTCGATGAATTCAACGACGAGCAAACTCTAGTCTACTCTCATTTGCACGCGTTTGTGAGTCTGCCTCAAATGAAGACCGAAAATATAAACGACTTAAAGCAGTTGCGCGACACAGTGTCTGCATCGATAGCCGCTTTGAATAATCTTGGTCGTCCGGTAGATCAGTGGGACGACATTCTCGTCTATTTAATTTCTCAAAAATTCAGCCCGCGGACTCGAAGCAAATGGAATTTGAAACGTCCTGCGAACAACGTGCTTCCGTCTTATAAGGACATTAATTCATTCTTAACTCTTCGCATTCGTGGTTTGTCGGACTATGACGAAACTTTGAAAGATGCCGGTTGTTCCAAAAATGATAAGTCGCGCTCCTCGGTCAACAATGTAGCGGTAATGAAATGCACCTGCTGCTCGGGCAGTCATCATTTATCAAAATGCGAAGATTTCTTGCGAAAATCGGTCGTACAACGACATGCTCTTGTACGTCAGAATAAATTGTGTTTCAATTGTTTGAGGTCAGGTCACTTTACTCACAAGTGCATAAGCAAATATCGATGCTCACATTGTCGTCGCACGCATCATTCACTGTTGCATTCTGCTAACAATGATGCGTCGGATGCGCTCGAAAGTTCTGCGTCTGCAAAGCCGGGTTCTTCATCCGCGAAGTCGCCCTCGTCTGCGGAGTCACGTACGACTTCCGCCGCCAGCGAAGCATCCATCGCGAGCGTAATGACAGTGCAACCGCCGCTCATCGCGACGCCTAATATTCTGTTGGCTACTGCGTGGGTCGTCCTTCACACTTCTGAAGGCCGATGCCTTAAAGTTCGTGCGTTGTTAGATCAGGGATCAATATTCAGCTTTGTGTCTAAGTCCCTTTGTCAAGCGCTGCGTACAAAGCATCAGCGAGCCGATCTACAAATCAAGTGTTTCGGTGAACGGTTTACGGATTTAGCAAAATCACGCGTACCCTTGACTTTAACGCCGTGCGCGCTGTCTAAACCTGCGTTTCCCGTAACAGCCTACGTCTTTCAACGCATTACCTCGCTGCATCGCGAATTCAGTCTGTCGAGTCGTGGCCTCATCTGCGAGGATTGTCTCTTGCCGATCCTGATCCTTTTAGTCATCACTGCATTCATATGTTGATCGGTGCCGACATTTATGGTTCTCTTTTGAAAAACGATGTGCGTCAAGGTCCGTACGGTACGCCGACCGCACAATCGACCGCTTTTGGTTGGATCCTGTCCGGTCCTACCGGGAATCGAGAATCAGCTTCTGAGAAAGCTTCTGTATTAAATTGCGTTTTTGCGCAAGATGTTAACTCGTTGCTTCAGAGATTCTGGGAGGACAAGGAGATCTCTCTGTCGCCCCCTCTCACCGAGGAGGAAGAGAGATTCGAACGTCATTTCGATGACACTCATAGTCGCTCCCAAGATGGACGATATGTAGTTAAATTACCATTAAACATGCTGATCGATATCGGAGACTCATTGTCTATTGCTCTTTCGTTACAATAGACTTGAAAAGAGGCTGCAATCTCGTCCCGAGATTCGTTCTCAATATCGCGATTTTTTCGACGAAATCGCTCTCTCGGGCACATGAAACCTGTGGTTAGCACGGACAGGACCGATTTTATTCCGGTTTACATATCGCATCATCATGTCTTACGTAAAGCTAGCTGCACTACGAAATTAAGAGTCGTGTTCAATGCATCGTGCAAAACACAAAACGGCTCTTCATTGAACGATTATTTGTTGATCGGACCGAAATTACAACAGGATCTTCCTGCTGTCCTGTTACGATGGCGCCAGTGGTGCTACGTTTACACGGCGGACACCGCGAAGATGTTCCGTCAAATATGAATACATCCGCTCGATGCGGACTTTCAGCGCATTCTTTGGCGTCCGTCGGATGACTCGCCAATCCTACACTTTCGACTTCTTACCGTTACGTACGGTCTCGCGCCGGCTCCGTACCTAGCAATGCGCGTCTTGAAGCAGCTTACTCTCGACGAAGGTAATGCATACCCGTCTGCAGTTTCGATTCTTCAAAATTCTATTTACGTGGATGACGCGTTGTTCGGGGCTAATGACGTCAGATCTCTCGCCGATGCTCGTTCTCAGCTCGTCCAGCTCATAAAAAAAGGGGGATTTCAGCTTCGTAAGTGGGCGTCTAATTCAAGCGATTTTCTTAGAGATCTCTCGGCTGACCAACCCGAGGTGACCAACCATCTCATATTAAAAGACGAGTCTCTTAAAGTTCTCGGTCTTTCGTGGCTTCCTCTCGAAGACGCTTTCAGATTCATTGTTAATTTCGCTGCTTCGGACGCGCCCACAAAACGTTCAATCCTGTCGTTTATTGCTAGACTGTACGACCCACTTGGTTGGGCCGCGCCTGTCGTCATTGTTGCTAAAATATTGCTGCAGGAACTGTGGCTTCTCCGTTGCGATTGGGATGCACCTCTTCCCGACACGTTACTCCAGCGCTGGAGCGACTACGTCGCGGAAAATTTGAACAAAATCCGGATACCGCGATGGACTGGTCAACATTCATCCGATCTGGCCTACGAAATACATGGATTTGCGGACGCTTCTAGCCGCGCTTACGCCGCTGTTGTCTATCTTCGAGTTCTTCACTCACTGTCAAGCTTTCAAATCAGCTTACTTGTTGCAAAAACCAAAGTTGCGCCCGTCAAGACGGTTAGCATTCCGCGACTGGAACTCAACGCTGTCGTACTTCTAAGTCGACTCATCAAGTGGACTCTTAGTTCCTTGCGAATACCGTCAACGCCTGTCTACGGCTGGACAGATTCCTTAATCACTCTGGCGTAGGTGCGCCAACATGCCTCAAATTGGACCACCTACGTGGCCAATCGAGTGTCCGAGATTTAAAATAACTTGCCTTCGGGGCGCTGGAATCACGTCCCGTCGAAAGACAATCCAGCCGATTGCGCTTCGCGCGGGTTATCGGCCTCCGAGTTACTTTCTCATCCGTTGTGGTGGACGGGGCCCTCGTGCCTTCGTCAACCTTCAACATCATGGATCGGCCATGTTTTCCAATCCAGTTGGACTTGACGTTGCACAAATTGTACTAGCGGAGACCCGCAAGTCAGTCGCCCTTCACGTGGAAGGCAATGACGAGTGGGATTTGCTCCATAGATGTTCCAGTTGGAACAAATTTATTCGTGTTACCGCGTACGTACGCAGATTCGTCGTGCGCTTGAAACAAAAGGAAGAAGCTCAGTCCTTCATCTCTTTAATGTTAAACTCCGACGAGTTTCTTAAAGCTGAATTATTCTGGCTTCGATACGTTCAGCGAAGATCATTCGCTTCTGAATCAAAGAATTAAAGTCACTGAAGAAGAGTTCTTCAGTATCTCAATCAAGCCCGTTGAAAGCACTAAGCCCGTTCATTGAGGAAGATTCTTTACTCCGTCTTGGCGGGCGGTTAAAGAATTCAGCGCTTGGTTACGATGAGCAGCATCCAATCATTCTGCCGCGAGGTCCTGTCTCAGCACTGCTCATTGATAGGATTCATAAGGATACGCTTCATGGGGGCATACAACTGATGCTTCGCACGCTGCGCCAACGTTATTGGCTGCTGGGTGGCCGTAGCGCCGTAAAGAGTCACATACGCCAATGCGTACTCTGCGCTCGTCACTCGGCGCGACTCTCATCTCAGCTCATGGGGAACCTTCCCTCCTCTCGGGTCAATCCATCTCCTCCTTTCTCGCATACCGGAGTGGACTATGCAGGTCTCTTTCTCGTTACTCCCTTTGTCGGTCGAGGACACAAGGCGCGCAAGTCATACATCGCGTTGTTCATCTGTCTAGTTACCAAAGCCATTCACCTTGAGCTTGTTGAGGATTATTCCACGGCTGGTTTTCTTGCCGCCTTTAAAAGGTTCTGCAGCAAAAGGGGATTGCCGAAGAGGCTGTACAGTGACAACGGAACAAACTTTCGTGAAGCTGATCATGAATTAAAGCGCCATTTCGACGCTGTTGTCAAGGAGCCTGCACTTCGAGATGTCCTCATCAAGAACGGAGTTGACTGGCATTTCATACCAGCCGCCGCGCCTTATTTCGGCGGTCTTTGGGAAGCTGGCGTTAAAAGCTTCAAAACGCATTTTCGTAGAATCGCGGGAGCGCGTACTCTCTCCCAGACTGAATTCGCGACGCTTCTCTGTCTGATCGAAGCGTGCTTAAACTCGCGTCCAATCGCGGCTCTAAGCGATGACCCGAGCGACCTGTCCGCGCTTACGCCGGGCCATTTTTTGATAGGCCGACCGCTCGTTGCGATTCCGGAGGAATCAGTACTTGCGCTAGATTCAAGTAGATTGTCAAGATGGCAACTCGTACGTGCCATGCAAGAGCAAAGCTCGCGTGCGTGGTCGCAAGATTATTTGCACTTTTTTTAACAGAGAGGCAAGTGGAGGAAATCTACGCCTAATGTTCAGATCGGAGAACTTGTGCTCATCAAGAGCCCATTGCTCACTCTGAGCAAATGGGAGCTCGCTAGAATCCAACAAACTCATCCTGGAGCTGACGGATTTGTGCGAGTTGTTACGATTCGGACTGCGCGTTTGACCTTTAAGCGACCGATCACTCAACTCTGTCGGCTGCCTGTAAAGCACGAGGAGTGATTCGGCCGTTTCGTTAGTTATAAGTTGCGTTCATTGTTAATTCTAAGTATCACTCTAAGTTAGTTCTAAGTATAGCCGTATCGATCAGTCTTGGCACGTTTTCTACTCTTATTAAGTTGGGAAAATTTCGCATCCGTTCTGCATGCGAGGCGGGCGGTATGTTCAGGATTACTAATAAAAAAGCGAAAATTCGTTCGTTCGAAGCTTCGAGAATCGTTGGCCTTTATTTCGCCGCTGTTTGTTTATTCCGAGCGAAGCGGCCTTCAAGCGGTTAGTTCGCGTCCGTATAAGGAATCGCCAAAAAACAAGTTATAATTTTCTAACGCCTAATGCGATTGGTAACTTGTTACCAAGCTCGCGGTGTCGATCGCTGATAGGCAGCTTTTCGGCGGCTAGCGTCGACTACGTGCCGGTAGCTGCATGCACAGCCAGAGTCCGAGACGAGAGAGCGGCGAGCACGGACGTGTAATGCGAGTGTAACGCGACAAAAGACTTGTAACGCGAGCGCGAATGAGTTCGATGTAAAGACTAATTGCCGAGAGTGAATTTCAATAAAGAATTGTGAAACCCACGAGGCGTATCATTCATTTCTAGCGTGAACCGCGTAGCCGCGAATAAGCAATAAGAACCGGAACAAATAAATATTTTTTTTCTGCTACGGGAGAACGAAGGCTCTCGTACAATTTAGTTTCAGCGACCTCAAAAATCCCCTAATCCATTTTACTTTTTAAAATTTTCAACTTATTTCACCTATTATATTTAATCTACCTTTTATCTTTAAGGGGAGATATACACCTAGCATGGTCGAAAAAATCGATTTTTTTTGCATTTTCTTGATGCTTGAGGTCTCAAGAATATCTGGTTAAATTTGCAAGTCAATATCTCGATGAATAACGAAGTTACAGCCGAGAGAGTGAACCATCTCCGAGAGCGCGCCGTACCGCCTGTTTTGCGGCCGAGCCGAGAGGCAGTTAGCGGCAAGCGACCTTTCGAAGAGAGCGTGTCTAGACCTGTTTACGATTCTATTGTGTTTTTGGGCGTGCTCGGGTCCAGGTATAACGGAAATATCACACGACCGTTATTCTTTGTCAGAATTTGGACGCATTTCGTCAGTAGCTTGCCGTTCGTGCAACTGTGCGTTACAGTGAGTTTTCGTCTGTGAATACATATTCTGAGGAAAATGGATAACAAATATAAAGGTTCTCGGAAAGCTCATCAATCCGGATCTTTTCGCAAAGATCGAAGCAAGAAAAAGATACCGCCCAAAAATCGATATACTGCCGAAAAAGTAGAACTTTCCGACGAGAATATTAGTTCCAGTGCCAAAAAATTGAAGACTGATCGTGAGACATCCGCACCAGAAGATCCAAACATCGGGTTTCGAATTTTGAATTTTCTGGCAGTGTTTTCTGCCTTATCGGAATGTGTAAAATGCAAAAAGTGTGATAGTGATGTTCGATTCTCAATAGAAAGCACTCGAGGGCTCGGTTTTAAAATTGTAGTTTCGTGTTTATCGTGCCAACCGACTTTCATTCCTTCGTGCCCGTACATCAAGACTGCTTACGAAATAAATACACGATTCTTTTTTGTTATGCGTTTATTGGGGATTGGTTTGCGTGGAGCTATAAAATTTTGTGGCCTCATGGATTTACCGCCTCCGGTTCGACAAACGACGTATGATATGATAATTGAAAACATTTATTCTGCTGCTTCAAGTATTGTTCAATTGGTGTTAAAACAAGCTGTAAAAGAAGAACAACAGGAAATAACAAAACAAAATTCGAGTGATGATATCAAAAAACTGACCGTTTCAGGAGATGGTACGTGGCGAAAACGTGGTTTTACTTCATTATATGGAGTTATGGTTCTCATTGGTCACTTGACAGGAAAAGTCGTTGATTTTATTGTAAAGTCTGCTTATTGTGCTGAATGCAACTATTGGAATAAACACGTCAATACCGAGCAATATCAGGAATGGAAATCTAATCACGAAGAAAATTGCCAGGCGAATCATGTCGGATCGGCAGGCAAAATGGAAGTAGACGTCGTGAAGGAATTATTTTCAAGATCTGTCGAAAAGCATGGAGTTATGTATATTAATTACGTCGGGGATGGCGACTCTAAGACGTACACGGGATTAGTGAATGCGAAACCGTATGGTGATGAGATTGAGATTGTAAAAAAAGAATGCGTGGGACACGTTCAAAAGCGAATGGGAACCCGTCTTCGCGAATGCAAGAAAAAAAATTCTGGAATCGGCGGCAAAAACAAATTGACGGCAAAGTTTATAGACAAACTGAGCATTTACTATGGCTTAGCCATTCGAAGAAACAGTAACTCCAAGGATGACATGAAAAAAGCGATATGGGCAACATTCTACCATTACGGCTCAACAGACAGCAAGCCTGAACATCATTTTTGTCCCGAAGGCCCCGAATCGTGGTGCAAGTGGCAACAAGCGAAAGCTAAAGGAGGACTGAAGAATTTCCATCACGATTATTCAGCATTGCCAAAAACGGTGTTAGATTCCATCAAACCAATTTACGAAGACCTCAGCAATGACAAATTGTTGGAACGCTGTGTTGGCGGATACACACAAAACAGCAATGAGAGCTTCAACCAACTTATTTGGAAGATAGCTCCAAAAACGATGCACAGCGGGGCCAAAATCGTTAACATTGCTGCATTTCTTGCAACATGCACGTTCAACAATGGTGTCATATCATTGTTAGAAATCATGAACGTGTTAGGAATATCGGTCGGATCGGGCGCGCACTTGTACGCTGCGCAAGAAGACAAAACTCGCATAGCGAAAGCCGAGCTGCAAGCGCAAGAACAGTCTAAAGAAAGTCGAATACGGCGCCGACAACAAAATTTAGAAAATATGAACATTCCGTCGACCGTAGAAGACTTACACTATGGGCCTGGTATCGATGATTCTATGTAAGTTGACAAATTTAATGATTTATTTATTCCCAAATTTTCAAACGCGTTTTTCTCAAAACCACGTTTTTCAAATCGGTACCCAAAATTTCTCGAAAACCAATGAACCGATTGCTTTGAATTTTTTTGTGGTTATTCTATACATCATTATCTAGTACTTGTCATAGGATTTTTTTTTTCGTTGCTTAGTTTTTGTTTTATAGGCAAAATAATAACTAATTTTTGATCGAAAAATCGCTATGTTATGTTCAAACGTCCGCCATTTTGTCATAAATCGATATTTTCAAAATCGGCTATGACAAGTACTAGATTATAGTATCTAATTTAATAATCTTTTTGGTTTTTTTGTTTCAGATGATTTTTGAAGAAACGCCAGTGGGTACCGTTTACCCGGATTTTTTTACGGCGCTCCAAAGATTATATCACAACCTCGTCAATTTTTGATTTTTTTAATAAAAAAAATTGGACATATTCCTGAATGTGTATACTTTTAGATAGAAAAACTCCCAATCCGAAATTTCAAATAGTTTTCCTTAAAAAAAATTCACAAAAATGACCTTTTTCCGGCTCCTAGGTGTATATCTCCCCTTAAAGGGCAGTTTTCACTCTTCAGAGTGAACCTTTGCCGATAAAAAAAAATACGTGTCAAATATTTTTCATAGTTCTACAAATATGCAAAGTTTCATTAAAATCGGCGAGCGACACTTCCGTAGGTTTACTTGTTAGATAATTCTTGTAATATGTCCGGCCGCTCTCCGCTCAGTACATGGCAGAAGGACGCAGTTTTTTTATTTTACGTTGAGAATCTGAAGTGAGAGGCGAACACAAGGACAACTCAATAATTAGTATTGAACAATAATGTGTATTTCATAATCAGGTTAACAAGGTTAAAGATGAGATATGATTCGGCCTGAGCCGATACGGCGGTAGTAAGGCACCGTAAAATCGGTAACATAGAATAAATTAAACTTCGGTAACTGTATGGAACTTTGAAACGCGAACACGGAAAACGGCTGATCCGACGATACTCAGCGAGTTAGATAGCACATATAACAACACGACGAGGCCGATGAAGGCCAAATAAATACAATTTGAAACGACGGTTATCTAACAGCCAGAAATGCTATGTCGCGGAACGGCTATTTTCGCGGATTTTATTCGTTTCTCGCGGAGACGCTAAAGTGGCGGTAACGGCAGTCTCGCGGAGAACGTTCTCGCGCAAAATCCGTACGCAGATATGAAACCACGGTACTTTCAGTATTGAGATAACGCGGAAAAAACGGTAGCAAAAGACGATATCAAAATAGACGGTACGGAAATCAGTACAGCACTACGGTAACGAAACGGAACGGTACAGAAACGATAACAAACGAGAGAAAGATTGTCGGTGATTAATCCGCGCAAGATAGAGAGACTTTGGTGTGATATCCGGAGTCGGCTGGATATTCGGTAACTGAGCGCGCCAAGAGTGCGCTCACGGTAACAAATTTGCGGTTAGTCGTGTGAAAGACACTATACACAGATTTTTGGACTCACGCTACCAGCCATAACCGGACGGAACTCTACGGCTACCCGGGAGGCGGCTTACAATGGTTGGCGTCTTCGGCGTCGTCGGAAGCGTTCTGGAGCTGGTCCTTACTTGTACACGGCACACCGAAAAGTGACTCTTCTCTCATCTGCAAGTTGGTCCTTCAAATCCCGCGTCGCCTTTTCGCGCATTCTGCCGATTTTCCGAAAAGAGGGGCCCCTGAGAATCACCCACAGTTCATCTAGGGCGCCCCCCCCCCTTCCTGTGGCTTCTTCAAATCAGCCGGTCCGCCGGTCAATATCGCGTTAATAAGCCGATGTTTCCGGAAAGGACTGGTTAGGCTGGCCGGGCCATACTCCGACCCTTCCGGGTGCAGCATTCTCGGAGTCCTCGGCGCCATCTGCAGCCGGGCGAGGTCCGCTGCTGCGTTTCTTTGGTGGTTTGCGGCTGAAATCAAGGCGGAGTTAGTCGATAGGGCTTGGATGGCGGAAGCCACGGGGTTGCGGTACCTGACCTTTTCTTTGGCGGGGTCACTAGCGTGTGACACCCGTTGGTGATCCCTCGGCGTCCGGTCTTTATGGCGATGCTGCAATATTCGCCCTGAGGCACAACATACGCAATGCCGCCCGCACGGGGTCTCGCCTTCACAACTTAAACTAAGGCCGAATTCCCACTGAGCGCGTCACGCGTCGCGTTATCCGCCGCGTCACGAATTAACCAATCAAAACATTCCATTTTATTGCATCATTTGCCATGCGAATAAAATGGGATGTTTTTATTAGTTAATTCGTGACGCGACGGATGACGCCGACGCGTGACGCGCTCAGTGGGAATTCGGCCTAAATCTAACGGTAACAGGTAAAATACAGAACGGAAACAAAAATACAAAATAACACGAGATGAAGGGTGGAGTCTTGCGAATTGCTCTCTCAAAGCGAGGAGCAACTCCAGAACTCTTTGCTCCCTCGGCCGGGCTGTGGCCCTTGTGACGGCGCTCCAAAAGCGTCATGTCACAACATGTACTCAAAATCATTACATCAGCCGAAATATCAATATCTCGAAAAATTGTTTAGACTGATTGATGATATCGGTTACTTTACATTCTCGGATAATTGTACCGTGATACCTCCGAGCAAGGCGCTATCAAATTCTATATTTATCTTTGATGACATAGCTTGCGATAAGCAAGATGCGAATACTTTGCAATGGGTCAACATTCCAAAGTTGATTACTTCTATCTGTGTCAAACGTACGCGAAGATACCTAAACATCTTGTACGCGACAACGCGAACCTGTTGTATCTTTTTTTTTTTTTTGGTGCAGGGGCCACCCACGGGTGACCCCAGGGATGGGGAAATCTTCTAAAAAGACCCCCTTCCGCGTGCAATGTGCAGTCCTAGTGACCGCACTGCGGAAGGGGAGTGTGGAATTCATCACCCCAGCAGAACTTTGCTGGAGTGGCGCCTACCCACTAAAACCCCACCCCATTGATTGGTCGTCGCCGGCCATTAATTGGGAGAGGCCTGGGAATCGCCAGAGGCATGTCATCCAGACTTCTCCCTGGCCAACCCTGATAGAGGGCTTATCGTCTCTCCCATGTTGGGGAGTAGGAGGCTAGTAACCTCCCCCTTCTTTCTTTGTCTTCTTCATGGAGAGGAGGAGGGGGGTTTCCTCCCCCCCTCCCCCCCTCTAACCCCCACCGAAGCTTCAACCCTATATTTAGGTTGTTACTCCGGAGGGGGCCTATCACTCTTCCGCTTTACCTTTAATTTGGTTGGGCGGGGGGGTGTAGGGGGAGAGTTATCCTCCCCCTCCCCCTCTTCTCTGGTCCTCTTCTGCCCTGGAGTCGGGCCCAAGGGCTCAATCTCCATTTGGGCAGGGGGAGGAGGTTCTTTTTCCACCACGCTGTCCCTAACTGGGGCAGACCGTGGTGGCATGAGTTCCACACCCGTTGGGGGGTTGTCTTTTTAGCGGAGGGGGGTGGCCCCTGTGGGCTCCCCACCACCTCCAAGGACAACTCCCCTTCCTTCTGCTTCTCTCGTTCTCTGTGGCGGTTTTCGGAGGGGGGCAACTGGGGGGCAATCCTCCCCACCCGTCCTGTGATTCGCCTTCTTCTTCCTTATTGCACAAATTGGGCAGTGTGCCGAGGCTTTACACTGCGCCAACTTGTGCCCCGCTTTCCCGCAGTTCATACAGCAATCTGTCCTGTCCACATTGGACGAACAGAACTGCCGCATGTGACCGCGGGCATGGCAGCGGTAACAGCGGGATGGTCTGCTTTTCAGCAGTTCAACTCTAAAGCTGCTCCATCCCACTCTTACCGCGCCCGCTTCTGCCACCTTAATAGCGGCCCTGTCTGGGCCCTGAGCCCACATGGACACTTTGCCCCTGTTTCTGGGACGACATGGTCCCAATCGAAATTCAGTGAGGGAACATGCCCCCACTTCCGCCAACGCCACCCGGATTTCCTCCGGTTCCGCCATACCCTCAAACCCGGTTATCCGAAGGTCGAGTCTACGCGACGGTCTCGAGATGCTAACGCCCTCCATTTGGCCGAGGACGCCACACATCTCGGAGGCCAAATACGATGCTTTGGCCTCCGCTTCCTCCCTCTTTCCGGGGATTTCTAGGAGGAACCCACCCCCGTAGCTCCTCTTCGCTCGGATGCTGGTAATACCCAGCACTTCCAAAGAGATATTCTCCTTTGCCTTCTTCATAGCTATAGGGAGTATCGCTGACTCTCTTGTTGAGAGGAGGATTGCCGCTTTACGCGGCATCCTCCTCTTGGCATTCTTGACCGTCGCCTCACGGTCCCTCTTCCTCTCCTCTCCCCTCTTCTGGGAGGCCGAGGGAACCGGGGGGGCGGTTCGTAAGCCAGCAGCTCCGCGTCTTACCACCTTGGCCCAGGTGGTCCCAGACGGGGGGGGGGGATTCCGAGGGCCTGAGCTCTCAGTCCCCCCCGGTCCGGTGATCACCCCGCCTGCCGCCAATAGGGGGGGAGTTCTGGGGGGAGGAGGGGATTTCCTCCCCTCCTCCCCCTCCCCTCCCCCTTTTGGCCGCCATTACCCCTTGTAGAACTGGGGTGGCCTTCTTCGAGGGGGCCTTTTGAGTCCCCTTTTTCCCTCTCTTCTGTTTTCCCCCTCCCCTGTTAGTAGCAGAGGGGGCTCTGGAAACAGACGGGGGAGGCGGGTTTCCGCCATTCCCACCTCCAACGCCTCTATCCTCTTAGTGAGGGTCTGGAGCGCCTCCGCAATGCCCATGAGACTCGTCTCGATGGGGATCAGGGCAGGAGTGCGCTCCATTCCCTCCTCCTCCTCCTCCCCAGGACCTGTCTGCATCCTATTGGTCCCATCCATGTCCCGGGGAAGGGGGGAGCCTCCGCGTGTGGGAGAGGGTAGATCCTGCCCGAACGGTCGTCTAGCCTCCCCGGCTCTCTTGTCTGTTAGCTCAGCCTTCTGCTGAGCTAACCTCCTTTT